CATCCATGCCTGGCCGAAGGAGCAGCTTGGGGGGGTAACCCCCAGTCTGGCACAGACACCAGCTCACCCTTGGGAATGGAGTGCCCTGGGGGACCTCCTGGCAGTGCCACCCAGCCCTGCTCAGACATCACCTCTGCCCCTCCTGGAGACCCTCCCTGCTTTGGAGGCACAGCATCCTGCACCGAGGGCATTACCCAGAAGGGACATGAGGCTCTCTCCAGCCACTCTGCTGTGCCCCCACAGATTTGGGCAGCCCTGCCAGGCCAGCCCTGTGCCAGGGTACCCTGTGCTCCAGACTTGGGTTGCCTGCCACACACACTCCTCCTTGGAAGATCTTTTCTCTTTCCTCCACCCAGGATCCCCCTCCTTCCCTCCCCCTTCCCTGTTAGTTTAATTAGCACTAATGGAAAGTGGGCTCCATCACTGCTTGGCAAGCTGCCCGGGGGATGCCGGGCGGGCACAGGCTATAAATTACCGCCGGAAAGCCTAAGGGGAGGGGGCGGGTGGTACTCAGGGGCACCGGATTTATCTGTACCTGCTCAGCAAAGTGGTGCCAGGGCACAGGGACTGTGCCAAGCCAGTGCCACGCTGGGACCTGTCCTCCCCTTCTCCCTCCCAAGTGATTTAGGTGTCTGCCCCTCCTAATGCCCAGGAGGGGAGTGCTCAGCATCTCTGTCCCATGGAGGGGCAGCGGGCACAGGGATGGCAGAGGAACCACAGAGAGATGGATGGATGGACAGATGGGTGCCTGCCCAGTGTCCTGGCACAGCCTCCCTCTCCTGTGCCAGCAGGTACCTGAAGTTGGGGGCCGATGCCCACTCCAGCGCCAGGCAGGCCAGGTTGACGGTGGCATAAACCAGAAGGAAGAAGGTGGTCACGATCCCCGCAATGGTGTTGAGCTTCCCGGAGAAGAGCACCAGCTGCAGAGAGTTCAGGGAGGGGGACAGAGGGTGAACACAGCCCCTGGGATGTCACTCCCAGCATGTGCCCAAGTCAGCCCCACTGAGTCTGGGGCATTCCATGGTGACATGCCAGGAAAAGGCATGAGGACAAATCCTTGCCCCTTGCTGTCATTTATGCTTCATTTATGGGCTCAGAGAGGGAAGGGCACAGCTGCAGCAGAACACTCAGGATAGGGGGAGTACCTAGGACAGGGGGACGTGCCAGGCTCTGCAACACCCAGCCCAGGTGCCAACCCACCTTCCTGTGGCAGGGCTGGGAGAGGAGCA